CCCATTTTTCAAACAAGCCTCCCCGGGGAGGAATATGAATAATAACGACAGCAGCAATGCAGCTTGTAGAAATAAAACAACACTCTGGCTTTCGTCTGTCTCTCAGCTTGGGATGCATTAGATTTTTCGTTTTATCTAATTTGCATCAGACTTTTCTCCGAGAGTTTTTGTTTGGGACACATTTAGGGACAAATTATGCCAGCCCTTTAAAAAAGTCTCACAACAATCCTGTGTGTGTCCATTTAAAAGTGTGTGTCCTCCTCTGTGTGTTTTTCTGGCTGTCATACGAGACTCAGAAAGTGTCTAATGGCAGATCTGGCGGGTGTCTGGTTATGCATGGACAGCAGCTGCTAATCCTTCAGATAAGCTTGAAGGAATGAACACCTGTGATCCCGGTAGTGCCAGCAAGCATTTTGGGAAACCCCATAAAATTTAGACCTGAACGCTCCAGTGCACAACAATAAACTAATTCAGCCTCTTATACAGAGCGTTTTCACATGCCACAGTTGGGAGAACATATGTGTAAACAATTAGATTAATCCTGGATGAGTTCCATTTTTGGTGCTTTAGTTCCAGCATTCTGAGCCTCACTGGTCCACTTGGTAAAATAAATATTTATTAATAACAAGTACTGTGATTTTATTTTCTGTCAGCTGTTACACAAAAAAAGACATAAGATGCTTAGGACAACTAATAAAATTCAGTTAAATTTAGGATTTTCTTACATTTCTACACTGCCTGGCCCAGAGAAAGAAGCTGAGAAAACATCTAAGGAGATTACAGAAATGATTAAAATTGGGTTAAGAACCTGAAAATGACCAAGTTATTCCATCTTCCCTGATGCCACAGGCACATTCCAAGATGACAATGCCAGAAAGCATCAGGCTCAGATAGTGAAAGAGTGGTTCAGGGAGCATGGGACATCATTTTCACACATGGATTGGCCACCACAGAGTCCAGACCTTATCCCCATTGAGAATCTTTGGGATGTGCTGGAGAAGGTCAGACTCTACCATCATCAATGCAGATCTTGGTGAAACATTAATGCATCACTGGATGGAAATAAACCTTGTGACATTACAGAAGCTTATAGAAACAATGCCACAGTGAATGTGTGTAGTGATCAAAGCTAAAGGTGGCCCAGTGAAATATTAGAGTGTGCTCATTTTTTTTTTTTTGGTGGCAACTTCTTTTCCTGGGCCGTGCAGTGTACTATCTAAAGTCTAGCTCCAATTAAAGGTCAAGCAAATGCAGCTTAAGGGAATTACCTTAAGTTGTTAACTGAAATGTTTTAGATATTTCTGCTACATTTTTACTTTACATGTACACTCGATCATGAAATTGATGCATCAGCAAATTAGCTTTTGTGATGTTATCTGGCATATTTACATGTATTGATACCTCAGTAGATAGTAAGTAAATTGTATTTATACAGCACTCATCACAGACATAGAATCGCAAAGTGCTTCACGTAGATCAAAACAAAGTCATGAAACCATAATGATGTCAAGACAGAAATAGACATCAGAAAAAATAGACATAAAATTATAAATTTTCGTAAACAGATGAAAGATTAAAATGGTAAATGGTAAATGGCCTGAATTTGACATAGCGCCTTCTAGAGTCCTGGAGCCCCCCAAGGCGCTTTACAACTCAATCAGTCATTCACCCATTCACACACACATTCACACGCTGGTGGGGATGAGCTACGATGTAGCCACAGCTGCCCTGGGGCGCACTGACAGAGGCGAGGCTGCCGATCACTGGCGCCACCGGTCCCTCCGACCACCACCAGCAGGCAACGTGGGTTAAGTGTCTTGCCCAAGGACACAACGACAGCGACAGACTGAGCAGGGCTCGAACCTGCAACCTTCCGATTACGGGGCGAGCTCTTAACTCCTGTGCCACCGTCGCACCGTTTTAGTTAAAAATAAGAAAATAAAAGGTTTAGGTAAAAGCAGCTTTAAATAAAACGATCTTCAGCTGTGTTTTAAAAGTGTCCAGACCGTCAATGCTGCATAAGGATAAAGGCAGATCATTCCAAAGTCGGGATGCAACACCCTGGAAAGAGCGATCACCTCGACTTTTATATCTGGTGTTTGGAACTTCTAGAAGGTTCTGGTGGGTGGACCTGAGGGCTCGGGTTGGAGCATAAGGCTTTAACAGTTCAGTAATATAGGGAGGAGCTTGACCATGTAGAGCATTGAAAGTTATAGTCAGGATTCTAAAATGAACTCTAAAGTTAACGGGTAACCAGTGCAGAGACATTAGAATAGGAGTGATGTGTGCTCTTCTGTTTGCTCCAGTTAGGAGCCTCGCTGCAGAGTTCTGGACCAACTGAAGGTGGTCAAGGGCTTTTTTGTTAAAACGTGAAGCAGTGTTACAGTAATCTAGACGGGAGGAGATGAAGGCATGGATAACTATTTCAAGGTTGCCAGATGTTCAAATAATGTGGTCTATCCCTGTCAAATAAATGAATGAATGTATGAATGAATGAATT